CTAAGTAAATCTGCAGATTCTGCAGGGCTTTAATAACTTTCCCACATGCTCCGAGGGCTTTTGTCAAGAGCGGAGAAACCGCTTGGGAAAACATATATATATATATATATACACACACACACACGTATGTACATATATAAAATAAAGAGCTGGGGGCAGTGAGCGGCTCTCGGGGGTTCCCCCCTCCAGGAAGGCCCGGAGGGGGGCGCGGGGAAGCGCTGCACGCATCGCAGCTCCCCAAAGCGTGTGTTTATTTTGCAACAAAAGCGCGGTTGTGAGTGTCAGATGTTCAGGTGACCCGGGTTCTTGATCTGCGTAAATATAATTAAAGTCCTTTTTGTGGCATTAATAAAGAGTTATTTGTACACCATTTCCAGGGCCGCACAAAGAGGACCTTTATGTGGGAGCAAGTTGCGAGCGGAGTCCAATTTATACAAAATTTTTTTGTATTTTTAGCCCGGCTCTCTGTTTGGATGGAGCCTGTGGAAAAGCGAGAACCCTTTTCTGGTCCCCCCGTTTAAAAAAAAAATCTGATAAATTTCTTTAAAAAATAAAGCCCTATTGAGAACGCGCCGTTAACCCCTCGGGCGCCGCGCGGGCGCGGGGCGCTGCGCGGGCGCGCAGCCTGCGCCCCTCCCCGCCTTGCGAGCCCGTCAAGGACACGAGACCTGGGCGCATCCTCGCACCGGGTCCCGGGTGATATTTTGGAGCCTGGTGCAAAGTGCGGAGGGGGGGCGGCTATTTTTTTTTTTTCTCGCGGGTTTCCCCCCCTTTCCAGGAGAGACCCCCCTGCGTCCCTCACGGTGTCCCTTTGCTGTAGTTTCTCCCCAACAGGGCAGTCTTCGCCCGCCTGCTCTCCTCCGCTCTACCTTTTTCCCTCCCTTTTCTCTATTTTTTCCCCCTCATTTTTTGCACCCCTTATCGCAACGCAGTTCGAGGGGGATCCCGCTCCGCCCGGCGCTGTTCAGCACTTAGCAAGGTTAATCCCGGGTTAATCTACCCATTACCCCCGCAGGCTTCCCCCAAAGCCCGCAGCGCTGCAGCCCCGCGGGGGGAACCCCCAAACACCCCCCATTTGAGGGCTAAAAAAAAAAAAAAAAAAAAAAACCCC